TACAGAAGATTAAAAGTACAAGAAGGAAAAAAGAAGTATTAAGCAGTTACATTTATTTCCATAAATAACATTTAGACTTTTTCACAAAAAAATAGATATCTGTTTTTCATTATAAATTTGAAGTCGTGAAAATTGGAATTGTAAAATATAGTGTAAAATATTAGAACAATTATAAATTTAATGTTGATAAGTGCATAAATAAACAAAATTAAAATTTTATTTAATATGACTCTATTGTTAAATTATCTAGAATACTTAACCCTTTACCAAACAACGCACTTTCGACCCAAGTGAAAAAATGTCCTCTTTTGGGCCCAAACACATGTTTTTGTTTTTCGTTTGAGAATTGTTACTAAAAAAGTGAGCACTTTTTCGGCGCCGCCCCCCATCCAAAAGATACATCAGGGGGTTGCCAGAAGGGGGATGTGCCACCTTCTGTTTGGGGGGTTTGAAGTGGGGCGGTAGTCAACCTCATCGCCAAGAAAATTTTGGATTTGTGAGAGGCTTAAAATGACCCCAGGTCGATCATAAGGTAACGTGTAACCAACACTGAAAAGCCTTTGACTCTATCTAAATCCCTTGAGAAGTTGCAGCACTTTGAAATAAATTTTGATGGAAAAAATCGAGGCAAAATAGTGATTTTTGGCAATTTTGAGATGTCCCCTAGTTGCCATGGTAACAGGAAATTTAAGACTGAGCATGTCGTTACAAAGGCAATGGTCCAGTCAACATTTGTGCCAAGTTTGATTAGTATTGAAGCATTTTTCATAGTTTCATAGCAGTTTGAACTTGCAAGAGGAGGCTTTTCAGTGAAAACGGCCATTTTTCACAATATGCTCATGGGGGGAAAAGGGTTCAACTCTATATTAAATATTTTAAAAGTCACTTGCCTATTTTTCAATGTGAGCGAATTCAGGAAGATCACAGAACTTGTGTATAGAAATTATGCAAAATAATGGTGATTAAATCATCATAATGATTATTTTTGAAAATAAATGAAATAAAATATAAAATATTTCTGATAATAAATGTCTACAAACTGCAATTTTAGTATAAATTTCAATTTAAACTCTATATTTAATATTTTACAAGTCACTTTCGTATTTTCCATGTGAGCAAAAGGAAGATCTCAGATCTTATGTATAGAATTTATGCAAATAAATGGCGATTAAAGCATCATAATGATTATTTTTTAAAAGAAATAGTATTAGTCGCTACTTATATACGGGTACGTTACGATACCGAAATCAACTTGATTTCGGTAAAGTTACCGAAATCAACTTTTCATTACCTAAATCAACTCGTAAAAACCAACCTAGTCAAAATATTGCTATTATTTCTTCATTATTTGATAAAAATGAGTGAAATAGACTTTCAGTTAAAAAATCTATTGAAAATATTTTATTTTAATGATGTTATTAACAGATGTAATTATTGAGTTACTTCCCTTTGTTCTAAACAACCCGTTATGTGTTTAGCACTACCGAAATCAGCTGTGACATTTAAATTATGTATATAAAATACATGTATAATACATATATAGTGATTATTTAAGATAATTTATGTTTTTGAAATTAAAGAAAACCCGACTGAATTGATGAGAGCGCTCAGTTGCAACTGAATAGATATCGCGTGTGATATCTGTTCAGTGCATCCAGGCCACACCACGGGGAGGCGCTCTCCTCATGGCCTGTCTTTTTTCTTTTTAAAGTATGTTATATATCTGCACGTGATTTTCGTGCATAACAATTTTCTAATCAAATCGTATTTGATTTAAATTTAAATACAGATAAATAATTCGACTGTTCTAAAAATTTCCATAAACTTGTGTAATGTATCAGGCAGTAAAATTGGTAACTGGAAAGTTTGTGTCCAGTTAAACTATATATTAACAAATCGCTAACATATGTTATGGGGACTCTTTATCATAAATTTTTTATATTTTAGTAATTTATTTAAATGTTTATTATGAAATAAACCTATGGTTCATTATAATATACATTGTATGTCAACTGTACCTCCTGTCTTAATTACTTCACACCTTACTGGTTTGGGAGATAAACTCGGCCAAAAATCAGTGTTTTGGGGGAAAAATTCATTTATTTGTTTACGTTTTCTGATGAATCTTGCACCATAACAAACTTCAACTCGTCGATTTTCCGGTATCACCATAAAAGTTATATTTAGAAACATAACGGGTAATTTTGAGAGGCCCTGGAAGAGGTACGTAAAAAGGATATTTTTAACGCGCGCCAGAAGATAATTCCGGCTTTTTTTTCTTCTTAAATGAGTAAGTTAAAATGTAAAATAACATGTTTAGACATTTTATTATTTCTTTGCTGTTCATTTATGTCAAATAAAAAATATGTGTTACCAAAATTGTTGAGCATTACGTTAGTATAATGAATATCTATGAAAACACGATATTTATATGCAACGTACTATGTAACATATACATCATTTTTACGTAAAAACACATGCATTATTATTTATGAACGTATAACGAAATATGAAGTTAAAGAATTAGTGATTCAAATTTATTTTTGCTTAACTTAACAGAGTGAAGAAGAAATTAATCTAGTGGTATTCAACCTACACATTAACATATAAAAGGAGCATATAACATCAGTCTTTCAATCCATTCCACTTAAAGATTACAATTGTGTAATTAGCCTTTTTTTCTGAGTTAGCAAGACAAAAGTGAATCTAGATTTCATCTACAAATTGTATACGTAAACGTCTGCTTTACCGGTAGTCGGTCAATATATAAAAGTATCCATGTACGGGCCTCAAAATGAGCATCTGCTGCACATGCGCACAACAATGGGATTCCCGTACTATTTATAGGCATGTTTTGTAAACAAACAGGTAAAAGTCTGTGTTATTTTTTAAATACCTTACAAAAATTCCAGATATTGTCGAATTCCAGCGATAGTATGAGATGGTGAGCTTGATTAGATTAAAAATTCCAATAACTCGATTTCATTATAAAAAGCCGAGTTTATCAACCAGCCGAAGTTATCTCCCCAACCAGTACAGTAATACACAACATGTCATATCATACAAGTTACAACATTTCATAATAAATCAAGTTCATTTTGGTATCGTTACGTATCCCTTTCTACAAACAGAAAATTCACTGTAAAATTCTATTAAAACCGTACAATTCAAATTTTAAGTCACTTTCGCTCACTTTTGCTCACTTTCGTCAAAAATCTCACTTTTGTATTAGGGTAATGTCGTCATATTTCGGACACTTTTTGCATTCTGCGACCAATTTCATTCGTCTAGCTGCGAATATGTATTTAACCGTCTGTAGCCTATTTAGCCGGGAACTATGCTATGTAAGGACTATATACTGGCTCCCAGCTGCAAATTACATGTTTGATTTATTTAGAAAATTCACAAATTGTTAATCGAGTAAAATCGGGGAAATACGGACAGAAGCGGGGAATTTCGGACACATTTTCATTTTTTAAAAAAGTAACATTATCGTCGCCAGAAGAGACTTAAACATATTTTATTTCTTTTTTGACATATGTATCAGTTCATTTCACTTAAGGCACAACATTAAAGTGATTCTTTTTTAACAGTTTCTGTTAAATTTAACAAGTAACAATCATTAACTTCTAGGGCATATGAGTGTGCCACCCAAACAATGCTTTGGTCCTCTTCACAAATGTCACGTAAAATCTTGTAACGTTCATATAACATTCTTAATTTACAAATATTGGAGCAGACGAAGTCTCTAAGATAAACAAATATATCGTCAATCAGCGGATGGTCGTAAAGGTATTCACAATTGACCATAGTGTTAAGTATTGCTTTCATTTTCATATACAATGACAAACTTCCAAAAAGTTCTCTATCTCTCAGGTGAGCAGCGGTTGACGTGTTCATATTTACTGTAAATAGACAAAAAACATAATATAATTTCAATGCGTAAGTGAGAACTTTAAATATAATCATTTTGAATAGATTATTTTACAGTTTGTCTCCTGATCGTTGCTTTGTTTGTAATGTATATTGATATGTATTTTCTAATCTTAAAATGTTTGAAAATGTCGATCGAAGAATATCAGGTAAGCAGCAGATGGCGTGTTCATGTTTTCTTTAAATAAACACTCACAAAAATTCAGAATATAATTTAAAATGTATAAGTAAGAGCTTTTAAAAAAAGAATAATATAACTGAATATTAAACAGAATTATTTGGAATAGATTAGTTTACGTTTTTTTCCTGATCGTAGCGTTGTTTTTATTGTATATTGTTATGTAATTTTCAATCTTAGAATGTTAGAAAATGTCGAAGAATAATGTGCAAAAACTGTTTCTGTAATAAAATAAACCCACCTTTAAATTAACATTGATCTTTTTTTAAATCCTGAATAAATTTCACGGCCTTTTTTACCTCTCTCGCATGGCGACGTTGCTCTTTTAATTGCAAGATGTTTTCTTTATCAAGCTGCTTCTGCCTCTTTTCAGCCAATACTTCATTGGACGTGAGTAGCCTGTGCGAAGTACTAACGGTACTTTTCCTCTTTCTTTCATTTACATTAACATTTTGTGGGACATTAAATATGGAATCAATGTCAACATTCCAATTGCACTGTGGCAAAGGAGCAAGTGCATTCAACTCATCATTCTGGGATTGATTTTCATTGGGCAAATAATTTACACTACAAAAATCCCCACCAGAGAGTTTTATATCTTCAATTATTATCTCGGGAAATAGAGGAAGAATGTACGAAATTTCTTGATCAGTGGCTTCATGAAGTTCTACTGCTTCATTAGGGTCGTCCGAGTAAAATTTTGGAGTAAGGATAGATATATTGCTCGTAGATGATATGGATGGTACAATCTGTGTTGCACAGGGGGTAGGCATTTCAATCTGTTGGTCAGGCAAGGGTTCATAAGGGATAGACGTACTTGATGAAGCTAGGTTCAGTGTAGTATTAACTTCTGATACGCCAACATAATTCTCTTCAAGCGCAGTCGAAGTCATTGTAGAGGTGGGTGTAACTGATGAGGTGATGGCATGCAATGGCTTGTCAAACATAGTCGATGGTAACAAATCCTCTGTACGTAAAGCACGTGGATTGAAGGGGTATATACCACATGATGAAAATCGCTAGTTATATTTTTTTCAGTCATGGCACGTTCCCAAGCCCGTGCAATGATCTCAGGGAATGACCATTTATTTATAGTGTGATGAGGACTAGCTGAGAGAAATTCAGTACAACCTTCGTTGTAATATGCACTAAAAGGGCCAAACACACTCTTGTCAAGTGGCTGAAGTTTGTGAGTAGTATGGGGAGGGAGAGCCAGAATTTCAATATTGTTATCTTTGGCAATTTCCAGGAGTGCATGTGCTTCATGTGAACGATGACCATCACAAATCAATAATTGGGGTCTAGCACTGCCGCAGAAGGGAAGAAATATTTCTTCAAACCAGTCCTTACATATAGTTTCTGTCATCCAAGCATTCTCTTGGAAGGACCATTTAGTCCCTTGGGGCGCTGCAGCCGTGTTCCACGAATATAGTGACCGTTGGGTCTTACCTTTCACGATCATAAGAGGAGGCATAGCTTGACCACTTGCACTTACGCATGCCAGGATGGTGGTGTTGGTCCTTTGATTACTAGTACGACCCGGCAAATTTTTCACTCCCTTTCTTGCAACTACACGGACTGGGTTGTGCTCAAATTGTTTGCCTGTCTCGTCCATGTTCCATATTTGAGATGGCTTATTCGCAATTCCAAGACTGATAAGGAGTTTACCAAGATCATCTATATATCGGTTAACAATAGTTGGATTAAGGCACCTGGCTCGAGATGTACCCAACTTCTCTGGCTTACGGATTACAATAGATGGATGTCTTCTCTTAAGACCTTGGAAATAACCTTTGCCTGGTATTCCATTTTTGAATGGAGTTTTGAGACCCATTTTTTGGCATAATCGGCCTGTTTTTATCAAGAAATCTCGCCTTGTTATGCCAAAACCACACCCAGCTGCCGTTGTCACACGTCCAACTATGTCTGCTTCCACATCTAATGGCACTGTAGGAGGACGACCAGATTTAGCATCAGAGGCAACCTTCCCTGTTAATCTGTCACTTAATGTTGATTTTGGTATCCCATAATGTTGTGACGCTTTACGCAATGACATTTGACCAGATTTTATGACATCTATTGCTGCTTTAATCAAATTGTCGTATTTTTTATAGATGTTTTTAGATTTTCTAGCCATCTCAAAGATCTGAAACCGAAAGTTATGCTTAACAAATGTGGTTTAATAGCAACCAACCTTAATATACGAGGACATATTTCAAATGTTCAGAACATGTCCGAAATTAAAAATGTTCTGGTTCGAAATTAAATGCTGCTTATAAGTAGTGATCGGGGAAATTCGGACACTTTATTTTTCTTATTTTTAGGGATTTTAAAGTATATTTGCACATATCTTCGACAATTTCTACATCTAAAGACAAAGTATGACATATGTCAAGCACAAATAAGACAGTGAATAATTGTTTTATGGATAATCGTTGAGAAATATACTCACCGTGATTCTTGTTTGAATTTTCGCGGTTTTAAACTTTCCGACTCGGTAACGAAAAGGGAAAGAACCCAGCGGGCCTGCTTGATTAGGATTTAAGAATACATAATAATTCACATTGTAGATAAGGATATTCGTATTCAAAGTAAAAGTAGGTTATTTAATTTAATCATATGGCGTATTTAGTTATAAGATATTAGATTTATACAGTTTGGTGTCCGAAATTGTCATCTGTCCGTATTTGCGATCCTTTACCCTATAACCTACTGTAGAGTAAACTTTGCTTAACTCGAACCTTTTGTTAACCCCTGTATTTATCTAATTTGGTTTTAAAAGCAAGGTTCCACAGTTTCACTAATAACAATGTCCTCTGGCAATTTGTTCCAGTCATCTATACATCTATGGGGTAATGGCTGCAGACGCAAAGTCTTGTTGCAGCAAACTTTTTCTGTTTTTCAATTTGAAAGATGTGACCTCTGGACTCTACTGTACATGTACCATCGAGTCACCAACTAACCAATTTAGCTGATGTTAAGCTGTTAAGTGCATTGACGCAGACAATATATTAATGACAACAAAAAATTCTAACAGTAATAATTCACAATATATCTTACCTTTATATATCCAACAAAAAGGAGAAAACCAAATGTGTTATCAATCATGTAGCTATTGCCAGCATTCATATTGAAACGGTATGCCTAAAATACGAAAGTGAGATTTTTGACGAAAGTGAGCGAAAGTGACTTTTAAAATAGTAATTATAACATTTTGATAGACTTTTAAAACAAACTTGCAGTTTGTAGACGTATATCATTAGAAAATAATTATATTTATTAACAGAAATAATCATAATGATGATTTAATCGCTACTAATTTGCATAATTTCTATACACCGGTATAGATGGATACCGAAAATAAGCTATTTTCGCGAAAATAAGATCGCGCTACGAAAATAAGATTTATTTTTGAAATAGTGCATTTATCTGTTTTAAAAATTATGTAAGTTATATATTTATGCATTCTTTGGATGATTTTACAGCAAATTAAAATTTCAGAACCAAAAAAATATCTTAAAAAGTGCAGTTTGAGCCGAAAATACATACCTACGAATATAGCTCAAATCGCCGTGTGAGCGAAAATAAGATCGGGTCTACGAAAATAAGATTTATTTTTTAATATATTGCATTAAAATGCATTTTTGTTGTTATTAAATGATTTGTATGAATGAAATTATAAAGAATGAAATGTTTTGTAATGAAATATTAAACGTTTGTTCGGTAAATATGGTAAATATCCCAAATAGTATAGAAAGAAGGCATGCGAAAATAACCCAAGATGGCGACTACGAAAATAAGATCATAACTTATAAAATTGTATTAATTGCAAAAGTAAATCTTCTCTTATAAAACAAGAAAAGGTAGTGGAGTGAAAAAGCATCAAAATAAAAGCAAGAATTAACTAGTGCGAAAAAAAACAGAAACAACTATACTACAAGAATAAGATCTACTGTATATAGAATATGTACGAAAATAAAATCTAAAGTGTACTCTACGAAAAAAAGATCTGTAAGTATGAAAATTATGTACATACGAAAATAAGGTTATACGTAAATAATACCTGTATGAAAATAATATACGAATGAAAATACTTATACTTGCACGAAAATAAGATCCAATTGAAAATCATGATGATCTATACGAAAATAAGATCTGTAAACAATTAAAACCTGCATGAATTGATATATGTACGAAAACAAGATCTAATTGAAAATAAGATTTTTGCCAAAATAAGATTATATACGAAAATGAGCTATGTTAAAAAATGCATGAAAATACTATATGTACGAAAATTAGATCCTATTGAAAATGTGATTTATACGAAAATAAAGATCTGTAAAAAAAATACTGTATGAATTGATTGATATATATGCACGAAAATAAGATCTCTGCAAACATAAAATCTGTATAAAAATATTTTTTTCAAGTAAGATTTTTACAAATATTTTTTATAAGGTCTGTGAATATGAAATACGAAAATAATACAAATGTATTTGTATGAACATAATATCTGTCTCAGAATGATACGAAAAAAAACATCAAAATCTGTAAACAATAAGATGTCTAGCTATATGAAAATAAAAAATCAATATGGAAATGAACTATACCAAAATAAAAGATAATTTAAAATACGTGTAATATAAAAATAATATCTACATTTAGTAGAAGATCATATATATAACTTTAATGCTTTAGTGTGTGTGCGGAACATTTCGGATTTTTCGCTATCCCATATAATTTTAGTCGATTTATTTTCGTATTCCTGCGCGTCGTTGTTCTGCGACTGAATTTGTTTAGTCATTATGCTAAATGTTAACGGTGCGTGATCCGAATATGAGGATAATGTCAAAATATTTAACGAGGCATTTATACAAATTGAGATCAGAATAAAATTACAAAACAATATCAACATATCTATTACATATTATTAAATTACATTTGTATATGCATATTTTGCTTAGGAAACAATTTTTTTTTCTTTTTTTTTTTTTTTTTTTTTAATTATTAAGAAAATGCAAACCTGAATTTTACAACATTCAAATACTGCTTGAACAGAATGTAAGATATTTATTACTAGGACAATGTAGCTATAAATGTGATATAATTTTGTCATAAAAGTTGTAAAATAAATAAAGTAATATTTTAACTTCCATACAAAATGCTTATTTACTATACTACTGTATTTATTTCTAAAAAGCAAATTTTGAAATGAAAGATGATTTATGAAATAAACCAGTGATTAATCGTTTAATACTATAAAAGTACAGCAAAAACTTAGTCTTATGAGAAATGAAAAAAAAAAAAAGTATATGTGAGGTATAAAGGACCTTTGCTGTATAGTAAGAAAGTGGTAAGTGAATATCATTAAAACAAAACTATATCTCAGAACATTAGAAAATAACAACTGACTTTAAAATGAAAACATAAATATTTGATTACATTCTTACATTTCTTATAATAATCATTAAGAATTTGCATAGTTTATAAAATGCAGGCGAATCTTTCATTGTAAAAAGTTGTTCTAATTTATACATATTAGGACGTCTATAAAAATATGGTTTTATAAATTGTCTTCTTTCATTAGAAAATCTATTACATTCGAAAAGATAATGAAACTCATCACCGATTATATTTCTACAAAAAATGCAAAAATCACAGTCACCAATCATACCAAAAATATAGATATCTTATTTTTTACAGATTTTGTTATCATACAGATATATTTTTACACAGATCTTATTTTCGTTAAAGATTTTATTTTATAAAGACAGTCATTTTCATATAGAGTCGTTTTTCATATCATTCTGATCCAGATATTATTATCATATAAATATTATTTTCGTATAAACAGATCTTATTTTTGTAACCTTATTTTCGTATTAACATTATTTTCATACAGCTTTTATTTTCTTACAGATCTTATTTTCGTAGAGTACTGTTTAGATTTTATTTTCGTACGGTACATGTTCTTATATAGATTTAGATCTTATTTTCGTTGTCGTTGTTTCAGGTTATTTTTGCACTTGTTCTTTCTTTTATTTTGATACTTTTTCCACCACAAAATTAACATTTATTATCTTATAAGAGAACATTTAATTCTTAAAATTCATTTGCAAAATCATTAAAAAATAAAGTTAAAACTATTTTTAATATAAGTTATGAACCATGTAAATCTTATATAGCCTATATTTTCGTAGACGCAATTTTGGTTATATGTTCATGCGTTCTTTTTATAATAAATTTGGAATTTTTACCCATGGATTTATATTACTGTATTTGCCGCACAGACGTCTATATAATATTTCATTACAAAACATTTCAATCTTTATTATTTAATTCATACAAATCATTTGATAACACCAAAAATTACGTTTTAATACATTATATCAGATATAAATCTTATTTTCGTAGACCCGATCTTATTTTCGCTTTACACGGCAAATTGAACTATTTTCATACGATGGTATTTTGGGCTCAAACTTCACATTTCAATTTTTTTGTTCTGAAATTTATTATTTCATTCATACAAATCAATTATTAATAACAAAAAACGTTTTAAATACATTATATCAAATATAAATCTTATTTTCGTAGACCCGATCTTATTTTCGCTTTACACGGCAATTTGAGCTATTTTCGTGAGAGTATTTTCGGCTCAAACTTCACTTATTAAAATATTTTTTTTTGTTCTGAAATTTTAATTTGCTGTAAAATCATTCAATGAATGCATGAGTATATTACTTACATAATTATTCAAACAGATAAATGCACTATTTAAAAAAATAAATCTTATTTTCGTAGCCGCTATCTTATTTTCGCGAAAATAGCTTATTTTCGGTATCCATCTATACCCGTTTTAATTGAAATTTTTACTAAAATTACAATTTGTAGATGTATATTATCAGAACTTGATGATACCTATTTTTTAAAATAATCATTATGATGATTTAATCGCTATTTATTTGCATTATTTTTATACACAAGTTCAGATATCTTTCTTTCGCTCACATTGAAAAATACTAAAGTGACATATCAAATATTAAATATACTGGTTAAGTTGTTTTTTTACTAAAATTGCTCTAAGTAGACGTATATTATCAGAAATTGATAATATTTATTTTCAAAAATAATCATTATACATCATGAATATACATGTACATGTTAAAAGTTATATATAAGATCAGAATAAATTTCTGTTAGAATGTTAAGGATTAGTAAGCCGGAGGACTTTGTTTGTTTAAACTTTTAATTTTTGAAGTGAACGGATTTCGGTATCAATTTATTAATTTTATACGTTCAACTTTGATAAAGCGATTAATATTTCTAATCCAGAAACAAGCACACCATGGCGCCTAAGTTTATTTTATTTAGACTTTGAAAAACAACGCAATTTTAAAGCAATCCTGTCCATAGCGAAACAATTGTGACTTTGACAGATTTATCACAGGGAATATAGTTTACACACCAGTGTTTAAGGTAATCTTATGGAACCGCTAGTGTAGCTGTGAAATCAATCTCCCTGAATTAAGATTTTTATTGTAACATAAATTGAAATGGTTATTGAATAATTGTATATGATGATTTAATCGCTATTTATTTGCATAATTTCTCATACACAACTACATAATTCTCCTTTCGCTCACATTGAAAAATACGAAAGTGACTTTATAAAAACATTCAAATATACCGTTTATTTTGAATTTATATTAATATAACAGTTATGTAGACGCATAGTTTCAGAAATGAATAAAAATTACTTAAAAATCATTATGAGGTTTTAATATTCATGCATTTTCTTATTTCTATATAGCAATTTCAGAGATCTTACTTTCGCTCACTTTCGTATTTTCAATGTTAGGGAGAGGAAGTGAAAGTGATTTTAAAAATATCAAATATAGCGTTTAAATTGCATTTAATATTAATAATGCGTTTGTAGACGAATATTATCAAACACTAGTATCTTTTAATCAATATGATTTGATCTTCATTTATTAGCCATAA